GCGGGGCTAAGAGAACTGCTGTTGGCTGAAGGATTCTATTACCACTTCATGGGGTTATTTAGCTGGCCTAAATGAGGAAAGCTCGACATGACAAGGCGCAACATGATACTGCTACAGATTGGCCATAGTTTTCTACTTTTATGGAGTATAATTAGTCTGTTTTATTGGGTATAAATCTATGTTAAATCTAAAAGTTCATAAGAAGCCGAAAATACCAAGAAGACCACCTGAGATCATCCCGAAACCAAACCGAACTCCTCAGCTGGCCCACCTTTTCGAGGCTTCTGCACTCTTTCCCCAGACAGCTCCGACTTTCTACCATTTCACATCCATGTGCCCTGCCAATCAGAGGTGCCACGAAGCATTATATACATATGTTTCCCCCCAAGATCTTTCGGGGTATTTCGCTTTATTTATCTGGCACATAAATAAAATATTTTCGGTACGCGGTGGTCAGCTGTTTCCCATCAACGGCGCTTGCCACATGGGCGTCCATCGATTGCGGTGGCTGTCTGGCTGGCAGATTCTATCACCTCCGCGGGTCCCTCGCGGTGTGGAAGTGGCATAAAGAAGCGCTAATGTTGCATTAAATTCAGCTGAAATCAACTGTTAAGTGGCTTTCAGTGAGCTATTTAATTCCCGAACACCCAAAAAGACCAAAGGCGATATAAGTGCGGAATTTCATAAATAAATATCTCTCTCCCTCTGTGGCAAGGGTGCGAGGTCTCTGTTTTAAGGGGCAAGTAAATATCATAGAGGATGTTATGCTTCGCCCGATTATGATTGTTTTGGCAGGCCCAGTTTCGGGCAATCTGTGAAATTCTACAAAATTCTGCCAGCTGCTCTCAGGAAGTGAATTAAAGTTGATTTGATTGAGCTGAAACGAAACGAGAAATTATACATCCGTTGTGGGTTATGTACTGGTGAATGATTGCAGTGGGCATTCGTAACTTAACTCTTCTGCTATTAACTTGAACTTCTGTAACCTCTCTTCCAATCTTAGATAGACAATATCTTGTTCTCAAGCCTTCTTCTATCTTCCCAGCCAACTTTCAACCTTTCCAAAGCGACCCAAAACCCCCAAAACAGAGGTCAAAAGACTGGCAACCTCTGCGCTGCCTTCTCCGTATGCAAATCCCAAGTGAATGGATTGAAGGGGCCGCCAAGGAGGCCATCAATTGTGGCATCCGCAGAACAACTGCAAACCCGAAATGAAACTCAAAGGCTTGTCAGCATTTCGTCAAAAGACACATGTTGCCTTCGACTCAGAGAGGCAGAGTGGCAGAGTGGCAAACTCACAGAGTCGCGGAGTGGCAAGACAAAAGGCGGAGACAGCGCTTCTAACGAGTATAATATAGTTCTCCATTCTCCTGATTTATATTTATGGCGGTCGACGAAAGGCTTCTTAGAAAATGCATAAACCTGCCCCAAGACAGCTCCACATGCTACGTAGACTGTGGCCAAATGTGCACGAACGATTGACTGTCGTGAAGCTTCGTTTAAATGCGTTTTTAATTAATTATGCGACGCGCGTGCCGCATGCAACGTGCAGCAAGGGGGCAGGCAGCCAGGCCAACTTCAGTGACAACACACGATCGACATAAAAATGCAGACGTCGAGCGGGGAAGTCGTAAAAATGCGGCAAGAAATTTTCAAATTTGTAAAACGCTGAAAATTCCCAAAACGCAGGAGTATCTTCTGGATGCACTGCTACAAATTTCGTAGAAAGTATCTTGCAGATAAAGATGCAGTTCTTGATCTTAAGACAAGATCCCAACAGATAGTTTTCCTCGCAGTGCACACTCCCTTAACCCCTCATTGCCCCTCTACGGCTGCCTGCCACGCATGTGTTAATCTGCGTGGAGCACAATTAATTTTCTGCAAATGCCTGGCAGGCAGGCAGCCTCACTGAACCCAACAATGCGCCTCGCCAGATCTTGGGGCTTATATATTTTATTAATTACGCTCAAGTGCTCTGAGAGGGGGCTGTGGAGGAGGAGGAGGGGTCAGCTCTGGCGGGGCTAATTACTGAAAAATTGGCAGTTGTCGTTGATTTTATGGTGAATTATTTGTCAGCAAGATGGAAGATGGCCAATGGAAGACGCCAACTGGCTGCGACTGGCGACTCTTCAAATGTCTGCTCAGGGAGTGGGTTAAGTCGTGGACTTGGGGGGTTAAGGGGGCCAGCCTAGACAGATTTATGGCTGGCATTTGAAAGTTTATGTATAACTAAATGCGGTTTTGATTTTAGTTGCAGTTGGCCTGGCTCCGGGAAATGGAAGGAAATCGTGTGGCCAGACAAGAGGACATCGATCAATGGGGGATATCTTAGGAAATGGGACAGGGAATGATAGTTTCCCAGTTAAAAGAAAACTTACAATTACTTAACTAATTCAGCTAACATAAAGTTATATCTCTTACCAATTTCAAAGAAATCCAAGAACTCTCTCCAGCTGAAAGTCACATCCCCAAACCCATAAATGAAGCTATGTTCCACGTGATGGCCACTAAATCAAGCAGATCACGCACTTGAAATAAAACTGTCAAAGATCTCCGAGGAACATCTAGTTCTGGAGGCGGAGGAAATCGAATATAACCTGAAACTCACTTCAATTTAACCTTTCCCGTCCTATAAATACCCATAACGATTGGAGGCGACATCGAAGGCAGTTGTCCGGGCAATTTATAGATGGCTTCGATGGGCTAGGGTCCGCTGTCTTTCCGGGGGCCACCCAACGTCCCGAGATGCCGGGAGAGCCATTAAAAGCGACTCGAGTCGGGGTTCTTTTTATGATTGCCACTAATCAGAGGTAGCCGCAGCCGCGTGCTTTGCATATTTCGACTAATTTTCATTAGCCGAATGAGTCTGTGTCTCCGATCTCTCTCTCTCTCTCTCTCTGATTTTATGAACACGACCAGAGATCTTAGTTTGGCCAAACACAAATGCCTCATAAATTGTCGGCTGATTAGTGCAACAATTTCAGGGTCATAAAACTTAATAAAACCCCATAAAGACGCTGCAGCTGGCAAAGGATCCGCGAGTTAGCACTCGAATGTATCTCATAGATACTCCGAGCAGCAAACGGCGACCAGCAAACAGCGAACGGCCGTAAAAATCAAATTGCAATGTCTAAACGACTGTAAGCGACTAATTTTGCACAAGTTAATAAATTTGTTTCCTCTGGCTGCCTCCTGCTTCTCCCGAGGAGCAGACACACACACACGGATCGTGCTCCAAAAGCTGATCTTCATATTTAGTAAGCTGCAAATTATTACCACAATTTCCAGACGCAATTTGCCCAAAAAAACAGAGAAAAAAACAAGAAAAAGCGAGAAAAAATGCAGTGCAACGAGCAGAACGCACAAGGAAAACATATGGAAAATTATAGTAATAAATACTTTCGGGGACGGGGGCCAAGGGGTCTCCGAGCGCTGGACGACACGCAGCCAGGCACTCGGAGGTAAATCTGAAGAAAAACGATAATGGCAGCACTAATAAATTGCGGCCAACATGTTGCATGCTGCACGAGTCCGGGGAGTTACCTCCCCCGCCTCAGCCCCTCTCGCAGCCACTTCGTGGATCCCCCTTTGGGTCTTCCTCTTTCCACTGAAGTCGCCGCGTGACTCAAAAACCTCCGTCCAACAACAACAGCAACAGCGACGCAACGCCGGGGCGTGCAATTAGAGTACAACGTTTGCCATTCAGCTGGGAATACGCTTTACACTGAGCGAAAAAGCTCCCTGTCTTAGATGATGGAAACTCAGATACTTCTTAAATCTTTAATTAACAGAAATATTGAAATTAATCAGTCTAAAATGTTTCTACTACTACCATATTCATAGCCATCTTTTTCTGCTGTTTCTTCCTAATTTTCCTCAGTGCCACCTTCATGCAAATAACGCACCAAAAAGAGGCAGAGTGGGTTGCAAGGAGGTCAGGCTGAGCTGAGCGGAACCCCGAGGGACACTTATTAAAAACAGTTATTAAATGCGACAGGCAACGCGCTTGGAGATTTTCGGTGCGTACCCACATCGACGTCCAATCCCAAGTCCAATCCCCAGCCCAAGCCCATACCCAAAGCCTGGAACTCCAGTCCCAGTCCAAGTCCCAATTTGAACTCCATTTCGGACAAAGTCGTGCAATCCCCCGCGGCTTTGCACGTGTTCTCTCCGCCTCGAATTCTCCCTCTCGTATTTGTATTTGGATAAGGACATGCGTACGAGCGGCGTCCGCGTTTCCATCGACATCTAGAGCGGCGTCAGAGCAGCCTGTAGCGTTGACGATACAGTGAAGACTTTGTCAGTGGACATTTTGTAATGGAACTATCTGTAAGAAGCAGCTTTCTTCCCTTATTCCCTTACTATACTAAGAGAAGACTTTACTTTGCCAACTATCGAGTGCCCACTGTACCTCTGCTCACACTCTGGTTGCCATTACAATTTCATGCGGTTGCTCAGCTCGCTGTATCGCAATATTGGATTTCATGTTTGCCACTTTTTGCGACGCAGTGCGTCGGGCGCGGCTTTTGGCAACATTTTATGCTGATTACACGTCTAATCCTCAGCGTGCGCCGCCGTCCTATTGGGTTAATGGGCAAGGCAGGAGGTGGTCTCTCGTGGAGGGGGGTTTGCCAAGAAGGGGGATGGACGACAGACTAGAGCCAAGACGGCGTCATTCAATTGCTGTTTGCGCCATCGCCGTTTAACGCTGATGGCCAGGAGGAAATTAAATCGAGTACAGGGTGCCTGGATGTCAACAGCAGTAGCAGTAGCGAAGCCCCAGAAATTGGAACTCTTCTAGGTCTTCTATGTCAGATCAAGTTGGCTGGGAAAAGTTCTTATAAGTTAGGGGAGGAAGAGGCAGAGAAGCCTTAAAAGTTCTTTCTTCAAACGTAAGTTAGCCCCTTCTTTAAATATTTGTTTCCTAATGTTTAGCTTTTATTTACCAAAAAGTATATAAATGTCAAAAGGAACCATCAATGATATGGAAGAAGACTAGATCAGGACCTATAGGCATGGATGAAATCCGTCAAGTTGATATTGCCATCTCCATCGATGTCAATCTGGCGAAATACAATTTCGACCTCTTCGTCGGTGATTTTATCGCCAAGGTTGATGAAAATGTTTCGCAGGTCGGGCAATGTTACCACTCCATTTTTATTTTGATCGAAGCACTGAAAGGCTGCCTTCAAGTGGTCATCCTGATCCAACAACTTGTACATTTTCGTCATGAACTCGACAAAACCCTCGAAGGCTATCTCTCCAACATATTCCCCATCGAGGGTATCTACATATCTGTAGATCTCAGACTCCGTGTGGTTGTGGCCCAGAGCTCGCAGTACAGTTCCCAAGTCCTCCGACCTGATCCGTCCTGTCTTTTTGGGATCACAGGAGTTGAACGCCCGCTGAACCTCTTCCATGTCGTCCTTGGCCAGGACGTACTCAGGTGGATCCATCCTAGGCTGTCTACTTGAGCTGCTCGAAATGTATTTCTGTAAAGTTTTCTCTGCTCTCCGCGCTTTGATGTTTTCAGCATCAGCTTTGGAGTTGTACTAACTTGTCAGGCTCTAACTTTGAACCTAAAGTTAGGAAGTTTATTTCAAAGCCAACTATCTTGCAGAAGTCCTATCCCAAAACCATATCCCTCAGAGCTGTAACCTTAAAAATCACCCTGTTTCCCCGAGAAGCCAGAGGAAGTAAACGCTCTCCATGGGATCTCAAACAGCAGACGGCGATCCGCGTCGAACCAAGGGCCATGGCGTTTAATTGGAATCTTGGGCAAATATAGAAACAAATAAAGGCACGCCGAGAATCCAATAAATGTCCTGCGCTGCACGTGCAAGCCGCCAGACGCCGTCGCCGTGGGATCGAAGTAAAAAATGCTGGGAAAGGGAATCGGAATCGGAATCGCAATCGCAATGGGCATGGGATGATGGTGGTTCTTTCTGGCTTCGACTGGGCAGCGTTAATTGAACGCTCATGAAATTGGATAAATCGGCCAGGGAGGAGCGAGGGGAGTGGATATGCGGATGGGAGTGCACACAGCACACAGCACACAGGCGGTGTCACAACAATCGATTGTCCTTTTGTGAGCCCGCATTTGCTGACATCATCACAAAGACTGGGAAATCAGCGAGTCACCACCCCTGCGGATGCACTTCCGACTTCCAGCTACGTACAGTGGGTCTTCTTTGAGGTTTGCTATGTGAAAATAAATAACAAAACTAAAGCTAATCGAATTTCTCTTAATAGTATCTTTTGGAATGGTTAAAATTTCTTTTATTTTCAGATTTTAACCCCGAAAAGTGTGGGTTTCCAAGGACTAAACACACGCAACCACTGTGCTGCGTGCTCAATTGGAAGTTCCGTTTCTAGACTCCTTGGATGGATCAGAAGACACGTGTTCCGCCGGAGACTTACCCCCGGAATCTGCCGTTATGCGGTGCACGTGCTTGGATTTGTGTTTATCATCGAAAGGATTCAGCTGACGATGCGACCGGAAGCCCTTCGGCCGCAGGGAAACCCTATCGCACTGGGAAAATCGATGCCAGGCGCATCCTGTTGCCAAGTACCCCAGCGCATCCATCGCTTTTCCACCTCCCCTTTCAGTGGGTGGCGCCCGGTGGAGCAGACGCCATTGCTGCGCAGTAAGAAAAACTCTCAGAGAGCTAAGAACTGAGGAAATGAGAGAGCTCCAAAGGGAGGCATTCTTGGGGAGACACACAAACGGAGGAAAACTAAGGAAATCTACACATCTGTAGTGACTCACTTTTAAAACAATGCCCCTTAATTTCCCCTCTCGTAAGACTTAGTAAGAATATGTTAATGAGTTTGTATTTCCCAGCTTAAAACCTTAAAGGTAAGAAAAAAGGCCTGCCAGAAAGTCTGGCCAAGTCTCCCAAAGAGCTCCTCCATCTGTCCGCTGCACTGGCATAGTTTTCAGATCCGAAACCAAGCGGTCCAAGCCCAAAACCTCGGACACAGGCTGTCCAAACAATTGCCGGCGTCGATCTGTTTGGAAATTGTGTTCGAACAAACGTCGCATTAACGCAACATTTTCCAATTTTTATGGCCAGGCCAACTCCCGCCTTGTCCGACAAAGCTCAGCTGCCTGTTATTCAACACGGCGGCGACAGCATAAAACTCAAATCGCAGCACAGGTAAGCCCCCGCCTTCCCCCGCTTTCCGCTTTTCCCACTTTAAGTTGCTGCACTGAAAATAAAGGAAAACAAAATTTGTCAAGTTTCCTTCGACTTTTCCTTTAACTTATGAAAGTAAGATGGCATAAATAGATTAAATTATATATCAAATTGAATCCCCAAACCATAACCCAACTTAGTAATACTTTCTCGCCGTGCACTGCCATCCAGTCTGGGCTCAATCTCCGACTTGGACTCCAACTGCAGCTCTTGTCCAGTTATGCGCCAAAAGCAGTGCAGTCTCCAGCTGTGACTTGAACTCTTTCCAAACACGCGCGCCTGCGCAGCGGTTGCCCCACCTTTCCACGGCCCCTTTCCCTCCCCCTCTCTACTTTTTATGGGCATTTGAAAGCGCTTGGCGTCCAGGAATGCCAAAAGAGCCAGGCAGCCAAGGCGGCTATCTCGGCAGTCGTTTAGTGTAATCAGTGGCCGGCGCAGGAGGACATGGACATGGCAGGGGAGCGGTCCAAGGGGGGCACTTTGCGGAATAGATGCATCTATGAATATGAAGCCAGTCAGCACCTGAGATCAGTTCGATGAATGAACTGCACTCGGGTTAAGCTTGCGGAGACTTTGTGTGGTAAATTAAGACTAAGCGATGAAGTGGGACTTGTACCAAATATTGAACTTATTGTCTCAGTTTATTAATCAGTTTATCTCGTTTATACAGATGAATGTCATTTGGAAAAGAGGAATGCATTCCTTAAAGTTGATACATTGTAGTAAGTAACATATATCCCCTAGACAGTCCCGGCAATAACCCAAAGCTTCCCATAACAGTTTTCCTTTATTTCCCGCCAAATAAAGCTATCGCCAGTGGAAATCTTTGCAGGCAGGTCAAAGATCCGGAGGCTGAGCAATCTTTATCCCACATAAACGGACAAAAGAACATCTATTGCCAGTAATCGGAGAGCTGGCCACCGATTCTTTCACTTTATCATCGCTCCAGTTGGGAGCTTGGCTCGTAGATAGCATTCCTGGCCATCGGATGCCATTGCATCTTGGCTTAGCCTGATTGACCCTCATAAAGTCAACTGCCAACATTTAGCGATCTAAATCAGTGGAAAGCGGCCAACTGGCAACTGCAAAGCTGGCAACTGGCAACTGGCAACATAGATATTACCAATGCAGGAAACTCTTTCCAGGAAACTCTTTCTTGGCTTTCTGGGTCTGATTGTGTTGTGTCCACCTCTTTTTCCATTTTTCGTGGACGTTTTTTATGTTTTTCTGTTGGTTTTGGGTGCCCAATTGAACCGACCAGCAGCCGAGAGATTTATTTGCAGGCAGCGAACATGACTTGGTAGTTTTGTTTCGTGTGCATGTTGCTGTTGGCTTTCGGCTGTTGTTGTCTGTGTTGCCTGTGTTTTGGCAGTTGCTAGTAGTCCTCGAAGATGAGATACTTGCCGTCTGATTAGCTGACACAGCAACAGCAACTCCGCAACAGCAACTGCAGCAGCAGAATCAGCAATGCAACAACAGGCCAAAGAGTGGGCAGCAGGCACTGTCAGGCTGCCAAGTCAAATCGTGTACACAATTGGCGCGACATGCAACATTATTCTCCTTCTGCTCCTTCGAGGCCGTCGATCCCGATCCCCCAAGCCCCATTCCCCATTCCCCATTCCCCATTCTCCAGACTCCATTTCCCAGTTCCCAATTCCCATTCCCGAGGTTGCAGCTGCAAAAGGCTGCAAACTCCAATTGAAAGTGGCGCGGGCGGCTGCTCCAACTCTGGACAGATAATTTACACTTGCAGAAAAAGGTTTTTTCATAAAAATATTATACTAAAAAGTACTCAAATGATAGTCACGGTAAGAAAGATGGCATGGGAATATAAACCTTTTCAAGTTCTATCCTGAAAATCCTGAAAATTACAAATCCATTTCTTATTCCTAACTAAACTTCAAGTGTAATTAATGGGCATTTATTCCCGTGTACCCAGCATGTCCCGATCGCTCCGATTGGTAAACGTTTGCAGCCTCAGTTTGACTTAATTTTCACCGACCGTCCTGGTCGTCGCCGGTCGTGGTCCTCTGGCTCTATTGTCTGCTCAGCTTTCGCTTCGTGATTTGCGATTTTATCGCATTGAAATGAAATAATTTGAGTTCAAAATGATGAAGTTAATTGTGTTTATTAGGCTGCCAGTCACACAGAGTCAGACAATGCGAGTCTCGACTCGTTTGGGTCTCGCGTTGCAAGTTTCGGGCTGACTCACTGGGCCCTGGAGGCGCTTCCCTCCAACTGTCCCTCAAATGTTGCCCAAATAGTCTCGGTTTATGCAAATTCGTGAATTTATGAGCTGTGCCCCATTAAGTCATTTTAAAAGACTCCTTTTCCGAACCCGCGTTGCCCCAGGAGCAACAAGAGTTGCTGAAGTGCCACCGACAACAATACCAAATCCAACTCCTAACTTGCAGCTTGCAATCCGCAATCGGGCATCGGGCATCGGGCAACTGCAACTTGCAACTTCCAAGTCCAATTTCCAAGTCCGAGTCGTGTGCGATATTAATCGCTTTTGCTGAAAATGTCATGTCAGTTTTATGTCGTAACATGATTACGTGGCTGGGACTCCGGAGGACACGGATGTGCCACGATCAGATGTTGCAGCTCCAGTCAAGGGAAATGCCTGGAAGAAAGTACGAATGATCGAGGGACTACAGAGGTCAAAAGGGGTTAAAGCACAGATGGGAAGGTAGGTAAGTTTAAGGTAATCTATGAAATACATTTTGAATGACCTTACTTAAGTCATATCAATTTCTTGTGATTAAAATGTAAATCATTCATCGAAAGTGCTTTCAGAGATATCCTATTTCACAGATACCCCTACCCCTTCACCACTCTTTCTCGCATTTCCCAATCTTAATGATATCAAAAACTCATTTTACAAAACGCGGAAACACAGGCAATCAACTGGAAATCAGTGGCAACAACTTAAGGGTGGGAAGCGGGGAAGTTCGCCAGATTAACGCATTAAGCCCACTGTGCAGCGTTGTCAGCTTAGCAGATTTCATCTCAGGCCGGTCAAAACGATGAGAAGGGCTGGGACTTTGGTTGGGTTTTGGGATGTTGCAAAGATCATATCGGAACACGAAAATCGCTTGTCAGACGCTTCTAATGAGCAGAACGCTGCCTCGTGTCGCCTTTGTAAAGGTCACGTGTGCAATGCTCTCCTCCGCCCTGTATTTTCAGCTTTTTTTTATCATCATTCTCGCTGTCAAGTGGTTGAGATTGGTCTTACTTGGGCGGTTCCATATCATCAG